GTTGATTAGTTGTCGTGGGGTGAGTTCGGAGAAAAAATAATGGGATTTCAATTGAGGAATATTGAAAATCAGTATTTCGCTATGAAAAAGCACATTAGGAAAAATGTTTTTGGGCAAGCGAATAACAGAAGAAATAGGCGGATAATCACCATTAACAAATTTCTTATGCCTGAGGCTTTGAGTGGTTAAGTTTAGACATAAGCCAGGAGGAGCGAAAAGAACAATGGGCACATCTTTGCCAAACAGTTCAATAATTTTGTCTAATCACACTTCGGAGGCTAGTTTATGGCCGTAGCCGTTAAAGGGAGGGTTGCACAAAACCAAGCCAGGTTGTTCGTGGTCCCAGTAGGTTAATTGTAAAAAATCCGCTCGTAAATTAGCCGTCGAGTTAGTATCTCAATCAATTCCGCAAGTTGGAAAATGTTTTTCTCGTCAAGGTTGCAGCAAAGAACCTCCACCCGAACACGGATCTAAAATCAAGCCGGTGGGGATTTTCTTGTTAAGCAAAGCATTAAGAAATTTGCTGACGCTGGCGGGAGTGTAAACCGTAGAGCTTTTAGGGTTTTGGTGGTAATTATTTTTGGTTAGTTGATACATGGTTGCTTTTTCTTTTTTTTCTTGGCTTTTTGAGTTTCTTCTTTCTCTTTTTCTTTGGCAATTTTTTGTGGAACAAAAAATTGCTTTCTTTTTCTCTTTTTTTCTTTGCTTACTTTCTTTAATGCTCCGCTGGGTCTGAGGAATTATAAAAACAAACCTTCATCGCCAACCCCCGAAATTTTTCCGAGGTTGATTTTTGTATAAAAAAAATTAGAACGAAAAGAAAAACGTTTAACTGGAAAGGACTATAACGAGATAGAAGGGTTTTGCTACGAAAGAACTGAATAATCAAAGGTTCCAGTAGCTAATCATAAAAGAGCTCGTTAACGTTCATACCGATATCATTCGAAAACTTTTCGTTCCTCAAAAAAAAAAGAAAGAAAAACACCCCTCCTGTCAATTTCAAAATTAAAGTATTAAAAATATAATAAGATTGATTTTTCATATTGGGTTGTTAGTCAATCGGTTTTTGTTTCGTGGCTGGTTTTCCTTCCAGTCATGGGATAATTTCCCAATTACCAGAACTGTAAGGCTCTGTTAATTCGGAATAATCCGAAATT